AAAAGCTAAGTCCATGAGCCATTTGGGATCACTTAGCACAGGAACAGCCACTCCATCCTTCTCCATGAAGGCTTTCACTTCTGCTCTCAACTCAAAAAATCTATTGAATATGTTTCCCCTGCTGAGCCAACATACCTCGGTGAAGTAGAGTACATCCCCATATTCTTCTAAAAAACACACAGAACCTTCAGTGCTTTAAGCCCATAGATCTGATTTGGTTGATGCATTTCAGAACGACAGACATTGTCAAACTTCAGGCATTTGCTGCAAAGGGCCTGCTGATGGATAATGCAGTGCAGAGCAATGGCTTCCTCCACACCCTCCTCTTCCAGTTTTTTTTAACAAGTGCCACCAGTACATTTTTCCTCCCTGTCATTGATGGTGCTCCATCAGTTGTTATTCCAACAAACCTCTTCGATGACAAACCAGCATTCTCAATGGCATCACACAGCTGGTGAAATATCTCCTGAGCAGTGGTCTGGCCATGCATTGGAATTCCTGTGAGCACTCCATCACTTCAAAATTGTCATCAACACCATGGACATACATTGTGAGCTGGGCAGTGTCGGTGATGTCTGTGGTCTCATAAAGAGCAACTAAGTATATACCGAAACATTTGGCTTTCTCACACAGTTGGTCATAAATGACATTTGACAGGTCAGAAATGCACTCTGCCATGGTGTTGGCAGAAAGGCTGATGTTGCTAAACTGACCGTTCTTTTCTGGACAGAGAATACTTGCAGCCTGTAATATGCACTTTTTGATCACAACACTCAAACTCTGTTTTCTTTCTCAATGTTCAATTCACTGGCACCCTGACAGATAAACACTGCACATTTCATTTAAATGTCTAGTCAACAGAAGGAAACTTAAATGTGTCTCTTGTATTTTCCACAGGGCTGAAAAATAAAAATAAAAGACCCATTAGGTCTTGACATTCATTGGAGGGTGATGGAGCCTACGAATTGCAAGTTTTGTTAATTATTGCTGCAAATTCAACTTTTGACATTGTCTTCTTTGGCTGTGTGCAAGCACTGCATTAATTGCATTAATTCCAGTAGTATTGGAATTAGGAAAATATGAAGGAAATGAATGGATTTTATATTATCTTACTATTAATTTACAAAACACAGAGTACTAAAAATAATCTGCAGGTGTTAACCTTGCTGCCAGACACTCCATTTTTTTCAGCAGGTATGTATTCTCTTCCTTCCATTAAAACAAAAGTATGCTTATTTGTTACATGTTAGAAGACACCCAACTATTTCCAAGAACTCAGGACGCTGGGTGGCAACCTGAAAATTTGGACTGTGCCTTTAATGTGAAGGGACTGCAAGGCATGACTGCATAGTCACTGTGCTTTCTGCCCCTTCCTATGTCTTCAGTTTTCCTGTTTATATTGGTTGGCAGCAGG